CTGGAATTTTTGTACGCATGAAAAAAACATGTGCAGCATGTTTTACCAAGTGGTTGTTGACGTCAAAATTAGGTAACCTGTTGTTAATAGGTGATAGGACACACAACCATTAATACTGTTATTTAAAGCCCAGTGCAAGCTATACACAACTTTACGCATTAATTCTTAAGATCTAAGATCAAACACAAAAGATGGATTTCTTGCTTTTTGCTCCTCTCTTAACCTTTGTGTGAGCGGTCTTGTGTAATCAGAAGGTAGATTATGGTGGTGATTAATTGTAAAAAAAAAAAAAAAAGCAACAGGAACATTTCTGGGCAGCAGACTCACTGTGACTATCATGGAATAATCTTAAAAACGGGACATCTTGTCAGAGGCATTGCTGTTAAGGTCCCCCCACACCACAAAAGGTGTGATTACCGTACAATAACTCTGAGATTGTTTCGTTTTATTGAGCTCTAACCTGCGTCACTGTCGATCTGAGAGATGAATGGATGATACAGGACCTTATTGCAAAATTCCATACAAACATTTAACTCCACAGTCTTCTAACAGGATGCAGAATCACAGCCACTAACCAGTACTAAAGTGTTTTTGTCTGTCTGTGTCTCCAGTCACTCATGGCTGCATCGTGTCAACAATCAAACTCTTCCTACCTGATGGGATGGAGGCACGCCGACGAAGCGAGTAAGCATTGATCTATGAAGTCTTATACTGATCACTTGCAAATTTTAAGTTGCGTAAGATTGGCAGCAAAACTTCCTCTGTGGTTAAATGGCTCAAATGAAAGATGGTTATTTGTTGCTGCTGGTTCATACGACATTAGAATTAGACAGAAAGGTGGTTCCATCTTAAATCATCAGAGGCCCTCTGCTCGACTGTCTCTGATTTGCTTGAAACTATTTTATCATTAGCTTTAGATATTTAAAATAGTATTTTGAACATTTTAGATTAATTTATCGAGTACTTTATGATTAAAAGAAATTGCACATTGACTCACATGCAGCTGTGGCTGCAAATTGGGGGAAAATAAAAAATATGCAAATAGTTAAAATATACACGTAATTCAAAATATATTACGAGTTAACTTCTGCATTATCATTTTTTGGGTTAATGTGTCCTCAAAGATAGGACTTTTCAGTTATCAGCTATTTTCATAATTCAGCTCGGCCCTAATCAGAGACTCTTTGATCTACATTTCCAACATTGTAGATTCTGAATCAACAGCATGATGTCAAATAAAAGTGAAAATTTCAGGTTTTTATCTGAAATAGTTCCTTATTTATTGTTGTTCAAATTCCAGTGCACGAATAAACGTGCTGAAAGTAGGCTTTTTAACTGTAACCAGTAAAGTCACAGAAAAAAATGTTTCAATTTGCGAGTAAACTGTAGGAAACAACAACAACAACAACAAAACAGTTAATACCATCCATATCAAAGTTCTATTTTTTGCAAATGGAGTGTCCTTTTACATTTGACTGTAACCTGACACTATTTTAAATGTGTTAACATCAGTAAAAATATGACTGTGTTACAAACAAATGTCATTTTATCAAAAGAAAAATGTTAATTTAAAGATTGCCTGTTATTTTACAGGTTTTCCCAGTTTTGTTAAATTGCAGATAATATCTAGTAATATCACAGAAAAGCATATTATTTGACTCACACCCAGGCCAAAGCTGTATATAATGTCCACATCAATAATTATTTTTCTAAATAGTAATTTATCCTTCTACAATGTATGACTGTAAAATCACAGGGTTTTCTGTATTTGAATCTGCTATACATGTCAGTGTTTTACAGATATTTACAGCTATTGTAATTATTTTAGTCTTAACGTTTTAGTTTTCCACCATTTTTATTTTTTAGATATGCAGTTTTTGTTTTTTTTACTGCATTTTTTACATCCTATGTTTTTACAGTGTGTGTCACCCAGCCCCCAGCTGTAGCTGACCAGCAGCTGACTCAGCGTGGAGCTCGGCCCACCTGGGTGTTTGTAATTGGCTGCTGTCGATATGATGCAGAATCATGTGTGCGTACGTGATGCCGGGTCACGGTGCTGCGGTGGGAAGTGCCATCTGCTGCCCTGCTGTCCAGCTTTCTGTCTGGAAACTGCAGATGAGCATCTTGACCTGCATGAATCTAGACTGAGACAGAGTCTGGTGGTTCTGCTTCACTTCTGTCTGCTGTCAGCGTTGGCAAATGAAGAACTGATTTCCAAAACTAAATGACAGCTTATGTTTTAGAAAAGCCCATGATCTCACCAAAAGTTAGTCATGAACAGAGTTGGTGTTCAGAAGCATTTTATTAAGTCTGAATTCAGAATCAGATCTGTGTATCAATTCCAAATCTATTTTGATAGACTGAATATCATAAAGCAGGGCTCCAGAGTTTTCACTGGTAGCACAGCTGAACTACTTACAGTTTGAATTTATTTCCATTCTTGTACGCTCTCTATAAACACAGGCTTCAGTTCAGTCTCAAAATTTTGTAGTCGCAGCTGAGTCACTAATGGCTTCACATTTTTGTTTTGTACAGAATCGATACAGAATTTAGTTGTCAGAAATGTTTTATTTTTGGCAAATATTTGAATAGGACATATGAAATAACGTGATTTTGATGACATCATAGGTTAAATTTCTCACCTGAACGGTAGGCGACTAGTTGAAAAGTTGAAAGTCTGATGATTGGTTTTACAGTTTCTTGTGATAACTGGTGAAATTTCAGGTCATTTTTTCCTTTTTTTAAAGACAGCATACCATTAAATTGGCGAGGTTTGAAGTTTTTGAAGTTTGAAGAGGCCCAATTTAAAGTTCTTAAAAAAATGTTAGTGGTTGTCAGTCTTTAATTTTTCAATATACATCCACTGTAGGGATAGCACGGAGGAAGGTCCACCATCATAGATGTACACTCCAGTGATGACACCTCAGATCTCAGGTTCATGTATGATAGTAACTCTCTTCAACAGGTCAAATTTCAGTGAAAGGACAATTCTTTAATGAAGGATAGCTCTACTTATTGTGTTTAGGTCTGTGCAGCTCTGTCTCTAATGAAGTGCACCTGCAAAGGGAGCGATGTGAAGCTAAATCAGACAGATTTATTTATAGCTGAGGAATGTCTGTGCTCCCCAGCATTAGCAGGAGCCATCTGGAAGTCTGCCAAGTACAGTTTTGTACAGTTGCCCCCTGTGCGTGAGCAGAAAGGATGCACATTCAAAGTCTGTTAAAAAGTTGATTCGGTGGTACATCTGTAGGTGTGACTCTGGAGACGCAAAAGAAAAAAAATAGACCTTTTTAATTTTGCATTTAAAGCAGTCATAGGAACTCTGAAAAGTTGTTCAAAGTTTTCCTTTAAATACCTGCCTCCCCCTGCTGCCACTTCCATTAGACTTTATGTGAAATCGACAGTGATAGAATACAGAAAACAGCACGTCAAATGAAGCCGTGTTATTGTGTCTTCCATCTAATATGAAACGTCTGCTGTCACACCACAAGTTGGAACGTGCCCAAAAAAACTTTGAAAATGTGCAGCAGCAGCAGTTTCTGCTTTTGTGATTCTGTTGAAGTCATTTTCTCACATTATTATTCACGTGGTGACACACACAGGGAACGGCAAAACAAAAACATCCAACGCAAGATGTGTTGTTTGGGCATGTCAATGCAAGTTATATATTCACCTCCAAAACCTGCTGGCTGGTTCGACAGGCTTGTTATCTGTTTTTTTTTAATTGCACTAATTACACTATTGATAGAGCCTGAAATTGTAAAAACTGAAAGGATCGTTGGATTTTTTAAAACTTTTCGACCATTCTTAAAGGAGTAATAAGAGTGGCGTGTGGTTCTGCTGGGAAAAACAACCAAAACCAATCTTAATATTTCAACTAAATCCGTTTATTCGACATGCCTTTAGAATTTGCCAAAAATAAACCCTTTGCGCAGATCCTGTAAAATATGAACAAAATCTGCACTCCTTTGTGGAACTTCGTAGTCGTGACTCACTCAGCTGTGGCCAACAGTTGCAAAAGAAAAATTCTGCGAGTATTCAGTTGAACTGCAAGCTGTGTTTACACAACGCAGATTGGAAACGTGTATGGAAACTATTTTGGGAGACTGAGAGGAAAATAAAGCTCTCTTGATCTATAAAATAAATGTAGCATGGTTTTTAAAAAAAAGGTTTACCTAAGAGCAAGTTGTGCAAAGCTGCATTCTGCATGGTGAAATATCTTTCTAATGTTGATCTGCAGAGTGGTGTGAAAAATGCTTCGTGTGTAGAGGCTGTAATATGATAATCTGTCGCATGTGGAGCCACCATTGTTTTCCCAATATTAGGATGTCACTTGCTAAAATGTTGATTCCATTTTTGTAAAACATCTAATCAAAGAAATGCATTTTTAACATGATTTATGTCATTATAACGGTGTCATACAGCACAGAAGACATTCATGAGTCCTCTTTGCTTCTTGCTACAGTCGTGCCGTTTCCATAGAGGGGAAGATGTTGATGTGAAAAATGAACCTACAGAAAGGACAAATGTGACTGGAGCAAAACAAACTCCCAGATCGTGCTTTAGGAGTTCAGAGGAAGTCGCTATAATGAATATGACACACAGTTTCAGGTGCTCATGTAGTCTCACCTGTTGATATAATGTCTCCTGTCATTGTTTTGTTCATGACAATAGCTCTTCTTTGTTCCCTTATCAGGCTGTTAATCACCACCCGTATTTCCTTAAAGCACCTACTCATGTTCATGTGGTGTTTCAGAACCATTGCTCTTTTGAAAGTCGGTGGGACTTAAATATAATAACCCCACCCCTCATGCTGTGCCAGGTTAGTTTACAGGACACCTTTAGCCTCCCACAGATCATGAAAGTCATAAAGAATCACAATTGCAGCAGAGAGGAGTGTTTGTTTTTGCTCACAGTGAGCGCCAGTCAGGGGTGGAGCTACAGTAACTTGCACAAGTTAAAGGAAGGAAAAATCAGCTGTTTTGCTCTTAGGAGAGGAGGAGCAAAGAGTGGAAAGAGAGAAAGAAAGTTTGTGTTATGGGATGACTTCACTCGCGCTGTGGAAAAGTCAGCTGCTCGCCCTGAAACCACAAGAGAAAATGAAGTAGAAGGGAAGGGTGCATTTTCTCACCGGAGCGGCTGAGTCAGGCTGAGATAGAGGCCGAACGGTGAACTTTGCCCTGTGACACATGAGTGGCTGACACGGGAAGAAGACCTGACAGGTAACGTCTCTGCTGTTCACAGTTTCAATCAGGATTTTAAGGATAAAATGATCCTGATCTGGCTTGGTCACACTGCTAACATTTCGTAGAGCCTTACAGCTGAAAGAAGCTGTCGAAATTTTGTGTTAAAAAAAAAAAAAAGATGATATAAAGCTTGTATCAGTAACAGTGGCGCTGAGTGATCTATATCCTGTTGTAAAATGAAGGTTAGAGGTGTTAAACACAACAGACACCTGAACAAACCACAAACCAAGGAGTTGGTTTGTGGTTTGTTCAGGTGTCTGTTGTGTTTCTGAATGCAAGTACAACATAAGAGACTAGAGCTGAGCAGGCAGCTGTATGGAAAGGATCCTTCACTTTGTTTCTACCTCCGATCAGGCAACCCACCATTTAATCGTCTGTTTTTGTCAGGCTTATATTGTCCTTATGCACAAATGTGTAGGCAGTCGGAAGGTTTTCCAGGACATGTCTTCCCTTCATCGTTAACCCCCTGAATCTCAAGCAATTTCTGGGCTTGTATTTACTGTGGACCTATTTTTAACTGCAGTATAAAGTCTTGCACCACTGTGGAATCTACGACAATGGCTAAAAGTAGCATGAACTCAGAAATGTCTATTGTGCAGTATGACACAGATAAAACACCATAAATCATAAAAAGGAAACTACAAAAGTGTAAAAGTTTCTTGATTGATTTATTTTACAAACATATTTTAAAAAGCATTGATTCAATATGAACAACATTTTTCCACCTGCCCACAGGTGTAACCAATACTGGAAAAAGGTCATTCTACATACCATAGATACTTTACCACGATGACTACTAAGAAATGGTAGCTCCTCATGCTGTCGATGTACATTTTTACAGACTGGGTGTTTTTCACATTACTCAATACGTCAACTCTGGAGATATTTCACCATGTAGAGTGTATCAGCTTGATCCCCTATATGGCATTGTTAAGCCACGCTGCATTTAATTTAACTCCATTCACTTCAGTTGTATTTATATTGCAGCAATTCACAACATGTCATCTCATAGCACTTCACATAGTAAGGTGAGGACCTTACATATTTAAACATGTATTTTATAGATCAAGTATGTTTCCTCCTCCATCCAGTCTCTCTAATGTGTTTCCATACATGTCTCCTCTCTGTTCTGTATAAACACAGCCTGCAGTTCAACCCAGTTCAACTAAAACAATCTGTTAATTTTTGTCATGTGACTGTTGGTCGCCACTGCATCAACACAACTTCTTAGTCGCACTTGTGATTGTGTTTGTTGTTGTGTGTGTGCTTTTAGAGATTGACAGGGTTAATTGATTGAGCCAACATTTTTGTCCGTCAACCTTAAGAGGTGGAGTGTACAGTGATGTAAAACAGAGAAAAGTCACCTTTTCCTTGATAGATTATTAACAATTAATAGAATTTCAAAGATGCTGGTATGTTTCTATTTCCCATTAATGTGGATGTTGGATTCTGAGTGTCATGCTAATTTTACCCTATTTGCCTATTTTGTGGAGATTCAGGGAAACCGACTTTAGCTTGGGACAATTAACACGCAGCTTACTGAAGAACGTTGATTCAAACATTTGTTTTTACTCTGGCCAAAGTTAGATACAGACATTAGATACTGAAATGGGCATTTTACGTTATGGACACTTTGACTGAATCACCTACATCTCCATCAGTGCACACCGGTTTGTTCACAAGTGTGAGCTTGACTTTGACTGTGGAGATGGATGCAAAAAGACAAGAGGGCGTCCTGAAAGGCAGGATACCTCTGAAAACTGGAGGTGGTCCTGCACTCACTGCTCTGCTCCCAACTGAAGAGGAAAACTGTTGCTGCAAAAAGTTGGACCTGTTTGTAGCAGACGTAGGAAATCTCCATGTATCTATGTAATATAAATCCCAGCTGTGGAACTACACCTAATGATCCTGCAGCTTCTGCATCCTGGAGATAGTGTGTCACCTCCCCGAAATCAAGTGAAAGAAAAGACCAGGAGCGGCCGGAGAGAATGCTCAGCTAATGCAGTTAGCAACATATCTGTTCCAGTCAGCGAATTTCCTTTCAGTCATACCAGAAACAAATGTTTATAAAGATTCAGATAAAGGTCAGTTTGCTTTGAAAAGTTGCTGGAAGCTCATGCACATTGTCCCACACTAAATGCTATTTCACTGTGTCTTTACAACAGAGCCCAAGAGTGCAAGTTCGCTTGACACTTAAAGCCATAATAGCCACATTAATGGGAAAAACATTAGGTTGAAATACACTGGAATTCTCCTTTAAAAAATGGTTGATTTGGCTCGCTGTCAACTGACTAATCAGTGGAAGCCCTCAATTTAGATGGTAGCTTTTCAATAGTATACAGACATGTTCAGTTAGTGCCTGATAAGAATGTTAGAGCCATGTGCAGGACAGATTAAAATGTTCTCCGAAGAAGCTTCATATGTCCTCCAGGACAGGTCTGAGTTGTGGTGTGATTGTAAAACCTGTTTAACCGTAGAAATATCTGAGTGTGGTGCAGATGGAAACTACTGCCAGTGTTTTCCATCATCAGTCTCTGCTGGACTGCATGCAAAACATTCTCGGTTAGATCTGATGTGAATGACTGATTTCTGTGGGCCAGCTGCACTTTGTGTGAGTGTGTGTGAGTGTGTGTGAGTGTGTGTGTAGGCAGACTTGATGTTCTTTTGAGCCTCAGTTGAATATCTGTGAATTTAGGTCATGTCATGCTGTGGACTTGGGTCTATATTTTTAAAAATGTGTTAATTTGGAGCAGTGCTGGTCTGGTCTCTACAGTCAGTGTCTGATTTCTGAAACTGAGTGCTGGTTGTGATGTGGACAGATCCTGCGATAAACACCTGCTGTGGACCTTTCCACCACAACTGAAGCCTGAGAATCTCTTCAGCTCTACAGGGCTTATTATTTTTCTTTGTTTTGCTCACAAACCAAAACCGTTTTTTAGGAATGGGCTTTTTTCCCCCCCATAGGGCCGATACAATTACTAAAATTATTAAAGACAGATAACCAGTATTTGTTATGTGTTTACGCGATGTATTACCACGATGTGACAGCAGGGAACTTGTCATTCATAACTAGGCTTCTTTATTAATAAGAATTACTATTACTGTATACATGCAATAAACGAGAGTACTCTGCCTCACCCAGAAACAACAGGCGTAACTCCCCTTTTTGTGGCATAACTGTGTGCTAGCCTTACATCACTGTCCACAAAAACTCAAATGTTTGAAGGAATCAAAGAAAAAGAGGTCAGCTTCAAGCTGGCTGCTGTTGCTCCAGGACAATGAGTCCGTCCACACAGCACAGGTGACAGAAGAAGCCAAATGTGGCTTTAAACTGTCGCCCCATAAACCTCACTCCCCCGACCTGCGTCATCTGTATTCTGTTTCCCAAACTGAAATCCCACTTGGCATGGTCGCCATTTTTAGAGTGATGATGAAGTCATCCATGCTGTTGAGGAGAATCTGAAGGCCCAACATGTGACCTTCTGAAAGGGAGAGCCAAGCTTGAATATCAGTGGACGAAAAGCATTGAAGTTGAAGGACACTATCCTGAAATATATTGCAAGAACAATCTTTCTCCTGCGATGTTTTCTGGTGAGGCTGAGAACTTTTTGAAGTCACCGCGTATACATTAAATGTTCTACAAGGTGTGTCAGAAAATTTTCAGGACCGGTGTCAAAACAAAAGATATATTTCAAATCCAGACTACAAGTTTCCCCCTTCGAAGTAATGCCCCTGGAGTCTAGCACACTTTCCCAGCCTTCTCTGTCACGCCGCCATGCACTCCTGGAAGGATTCTTCTGGGATCCTCTGCAGCTCTGTCGTCACAGCTATATTGATGTTGTCCACGTCTTCAAAACGGGTCCCCTTGATGACCCCTTGAGCTTGGGGAAGAGGAAAAAATCCCACAGAGCCAGGTGGGGTGAGTAGGGAGGTTGCTCCAGCACAGAGATGTTCTTCTCAGCCAGGAACTGTGGGATGCTCAGGGCGTTGTGAGCAGGCGCGTTGTCATGGTGAAGCAGCCAAGACTTGTCCTGCCACAACTCTCGCCTCATCTCGCACACTGAACGAAGCAAACATGGATCTCTTTGTAGACGTGCTGGTTGATCGTCTGAAGGGGAAAACTCGTAGTTTGTAGTTTGGGGTTTGAAATATATCTTTTGTGACACCAGTCCTGGAACTTTTTTGACCCACCTCGCATATTAGCATTCAGTCATTCACTCATCATGAGCTCCTCCCACAACCACTGTGATTAGTTTAGACAAATACAAACAAGCCAAAGCCTTTTTTCGCCCTCAAGCAGAATAGTGGTGTGGTGCAGCCAGACCGTTACATTCTCCAGAGTGGGCTACCTAAGTAAGAGTAGGTCCTCTCAGAACCTTGACACACCATCACTGGGATTACAACTCAAGAAGCAGAGGACCTAGATATGATCCTTGGAGGAACCTACCGACTAGGTAGCTCGAAAAAGTATGCAAGTGTACTCTGGGAAAGTTTTGTTCACTTTACTCTGTCAGATTATGTCAAGGCATTCATTTAAAAAACTGTTTTACTCTGCTTAGGCTGGCTAAAGCTTTTCTGTATATCTAAAACCTTCAGATTTGTTAAATACAATAGAAAGCAAGGTAGGCGACACGGCTTTGTGACTTCAGGTTACGTGAAGCCCCAGTGCAAAAGGCTGTTAAATCTAATAATAAGCTTGGTCCCTCCTGCTGTGATGATGCTCTCTGAATGACTGCTGCCGCTGGCAGTAATGATAAATAAGGCAGCATTATGCACTGTGATTGCTGCAGTGATGGAAATTAAAGCGTGACAGGCTGCTGCGGTTGAATGAATGTAGCAGAAACAAATTGTTGGAACAACACAGTAAGAAGGAGCCATTACAGACAAGAGATCCTCCTCAGGAAGTCTCAACGCCAGCACACAGCAATCAGAAAGAAGTTGGAACATGAAAGCACTACAAATTAAGTGCTTAATTGCTGGTATGCAGTTACAAGTGTAGTATTATAAATTGTCTCACAATGCCAATAAAAATCTAGATGAGATGGCAGAAGTAGTTTCCCTCAGGCACTGTCCAGTTCTTTATGAACCACTTCTCAAAGTAGATACACTTCTCAAGATACAAGACTAGATAGAAAACAAAGCATCTTGTACTGAATAAGACAGTAGAGTTTCTCAGAGTGCATATTCAGGAGGATTAAAGTGTTTACTGGAGGATACTTTCAGTTCCATCACTGGGTGAAGTGATGGACAGGCAGAAGAGCTCTAATGCAGCACTGATATGAAAACACTTTACTCAGCGCAAGAAAATCAGGATTGAATATGAAGTCTGTGGTGTTTACTGTGATGGATGATATTGCTTCGTGGACGTTGTTTGTTGTGGTCTCTGCAGAGTAGCTGCACTGCTGGTGCAAAATGTACAAATGTCCTTTTAAATGACTTGCTTATCCTTTGACCATTTGTCTGACCTGCACTTTAGCCTCAAGTGCAAAATGGCGAATGAGAGTACTCTTGTCAGCCCACCCGTTGCTCTACATTTCTGCCTGTGTAGATGGATACAAACTGACAGGGTTTCAGTTCAAACAACTTTACCTTTAGTTGAATTGATTCGGGTTACTATGTTTGCTTTTCCACGGGCTAGAGATACTGTATGTCTGTTTGAACACAGGTTTCGCTATTGAAACTCTCCCTGGTTTATTCTGAACTTCTGTCAAGGACCACAGTGCAAGGACACAGTTTGTCTCTCCCATGGACAACTACTTGAAAGCCAATGAGGTCATTATTTGTCTCATTTTTTCCTGCAGTTGAATGTTTCAATAGCGCCAGTTGGCTTTTGTAAACGCTCTTGCAAATGGCAGTCGGTGGGTTAGAATGCTGTTCAATGCACCAAAGATTGCAGCAGCCTTTTTATTTGCAATTCGGTTTTTTACGTGCCAGCTGCTGATATTAAAACAGCACTCAACGTGAAAAATGAGACAAATCCAGACAGAAAGCTCTCATTTAGTCTGACATTATTTGGGCTTTTACCTGTATGGAGGAATTTTTGGCCTAAACCAAAAAAAATATAGCTAACTAGAACTAAAAGCTAGAAATTTCTCACACTTTAAAATAAAAAACAAAATGTACCAAATAAGTTAATCTTAATTAGAAAAATGCTATATAAATCTGTTCATTTTTTATTATTATTGATTTATTTGCCCAGTGTATTCTTGATCTATAAAAATTTTCATCTTTATTAAGCAGAACTTCAATCAAGCTCAGATGTCAGCAAATTTCCAGAGTAACACTTATTCCAAGCCAATGTAAATATTCCCAAGAGAATACCACCATGTTAAAAATGATTTGTAATTTGGATAAAATGGAGCTGCATGCAGACAACTTAACACATTGCTAGTAATGTCAGTAAAAGTCGTTCAGTTTGTTTAATAATTCAGTTCTCTTTAGAGAATTCTTGAAGTTGTCTTGTTGGAAATGTTGTTGTCGTGTGAATACTTTACGCCACCCTTGCATTCTGGATTTAGTGAGCCAAGGCTTCGTTATTTTCCCAGCTGTTGTGTGAGCTGCTACAGTCTCCAGCTCCCCTTCTAGTTACACATTAACAGAGTCCAGTTTACCTTCATTCCTCAACTGTGACTGTTTCGAAGTGAGTTCTCGATGATATCCACCTCTCCTTAAACAAACCTGTATGACCGTATGCTGCTGTAAGATTACGGCGCTTTGGATAAATACAAGGCAGGTGTCGCATTACTGCAGGGTACAAGGTGAAGGTGGCCATTTGTATTCCACACAGTGACTCAGATCTGATTTTAGAAAAAAGTAAAAATATCACATTGACTTCCATGCAACTTCTAGATACGAGGAGTTAAATAAGCTAAAACCAAATGGTTCATCAACATGGGCTGTTTTCTGTGAGCAGAGTACAACATCAATATCCAGTCGATCATGTTCAGCCAAAATTGTGCTTGTTAAGATGATTAATATTCGATCAACTGGAGCATTACTTCATAAACTCACTGCTACAGTATCTGTTTAAAAAAACAAACAAAAAAAACAATTTAATGCACCCACATTCCTCTGGGTGTTCAGGTTCTTACCTGGTTTTAAATGCATGGAGCAGCATATTGTGGGTTGTGATTTTGGGTGCAAGTTCATGACAAACAATATATAACTGGGCATTAGTAAAGCTGACTACCAGCTTATTTTACATTTCTATAAAACTGGCCTGAGGCTGAGTGAACTGTCCCATTAATCACTGACTTTCACTGTACTTTAAGTAGAGCCTGTCCAGCTTAATGATTGACTGTGTTTGACGTTCACTTACTTTCACACAACAACCACAATGCACTGATTTACCACGCTTAACAACCACCCCGGTTTATAGCTTTAGCCTGAAGACAGTTCAGTTTCTCTGTGTGCAGTCACCAGCGTGTCTGTCCAGGCCTGTAGTTAAAAAAAGAAAAACTGTTGTCAGCTTTGTTAAGAAAGCCATTATTTAACTTGTTGTTCATGTTGTGATGCTACATTGTTCTTAGCAATATGGAAGTCGAGGTTGGATTCGTCATTGACTTCGTCGTACCGAGTCTTAATTTTTGTTAAACGAGGTGAAAAGCGAGTGTCACAAGACCTTCAACAGCCATTTTTTTCCCTCCTTCTGTCGCCGTGGTTACTCCATGTGCCTTCGCTCCCTGCTGTTTCCATGGTGACCAACTGTTTTCTCTTCTCTCTTCCTCTTTCAGTGTCATCCAGGCTCCGTTACCACTACCTGTAGACAAGGTAAGAACAGAAGTGTGTGTCCTGTTTGTGTTACTGTCCTGCTGAGGGTGTGTG